CCCCCCCAGGAACAGAGCTGCGTCTCATTAATCAGCTGTTGGCTTCGCTAATTGTGTCGGGGGTCTTGTAGCCCGCGCCTTGTAAAACACACGGACGGCCCCGCCGCCCGCCCGGCCATGGCCCGGCCGGCCGACCGCTCCCGTATCCCTCGCAGCCGGTTGTTCGACAATCAAAACAGAACCCCTCTCTCTGTCGGCAAATTAGCACGGTCCCGAAAATGTGTAAACGTGTAAACCCAACGGCGGCGGCGGCGGCGCACTCCGGACCGGACCAAGGGACTGATGTGCGGGGTGGAGGATCCGCGCGGATCTGAGGAGGGCGACAGAGGGGGGTCGCGTCATTCGGCGGGAGCGTCGTGCGGCCAGGTGGACTGCTCGCTCGGGCCGTGTGGAATCACCCGGAGAGTGCGTCCGTCAGGGTATAAGGACATGAGCCCAGCCAGATCTGAGCCCGGATCACTGTGGTCCCAACCAGTGACCGGTATGAGCCCGACATGAGTATAGATCGACGCCGGGCTCATATTGGGCACTGGTTGGGCGTACAGTGGTCCGGGCTCAGATCTAGTCGGGCTCATGGCTCATGTCCTTATACCCTGTCCGTCATTCGCCGTCACACAGACTGCGGGCGAGTTCAGCTGCCAATGGAAGCTCGCATGGCGCCTGATGGGTAGGCAACATCGTGCCTGGGGCGCGCGCGTGTAATGCGGGGTGGCCTACCCGGAGTCTCGCAGGCGCCGAGCTCCCGCAATATGCCAGCCGAGTCGAATGAATATGAAGGAAAAAAGGAAAATCTTTCATAGACGATAGAAAAATCACAGAGAGGCGCCATGCAAGCAAAGCCGCTCGCACGCGTGCTTGCGGTACAGGTCGACTAAGAATGTGGACGTGGAGAATCAGCCGCCTGGCACAGAGCACCACTTCCAACACCCACAAGTAGGTAGAGCAGTCACACAGTTGCAACAGTAGGACACCATATGACAGCACGACGCTTGCCTTACGCATGCATCAAAAGTAGAACTTTTTTGTCCTGCGTTTGCAACACCAGAGGGGGCCACCCCACTCTAAAATTTTCAGAGCAGCGCACGTTCCACGATGTCGCCATTATTGCCTGTTGTTTGGGCGCTATAGGCAGGCTGACCTGCCACGGCACCACGAAGGGTTAGACGTAGTGTAGCCACCGCAGAGACCGACCGAAACGAACCGCCGCATCGGACGGACTCACGTGTCTGTCTTTCTCGCTCGCTCTCTCACCCCATCCCTCTCACCCCCCTTTCCCTCTCTCTCTCAGACACACACACACACACGTCGTGGTATGCGAGGGACTGGTCGCCGTGATAGTTGACCAGACGGGGTGTTACGTGAATGTAGAGGCTAGGATTGGAGGGGGAGAGGCTGCTATGGTGGTCGAGAGGGTCTGACCCGCCCGCCGCCGCTTCCCGATCGTCTGCACAATCGCGCCTGCCGGTCGCCACAACGACCGACAGCGATGGCCATCACAGCCACGCTCGACGATGACACTGGTCCGCACAGCACAGACATCAGATTGGCATCGTCATAAACATTGGCCCCTTAATTATGCCGCTTTGAGAGTGACCAGACGGAAGCCCTGCTTTGAGGTTTATATCGCAATAATGCATCATTATTTTCTTATGCTCATGGGCGGCCTGCTGACACCCCAGCCTTTCGGCTGAAGTCGGCCCGCGCCCCGTCGCGTCGCAGCTCTGGCTCTAATCGTGAGAGTGCAAGTCAGTCTAGTGCCCATCGGAATGCCCGGCTCGTGCCCGATCAGCGCAGCACACCTCTCACACAAGGCGAATTACTGGGCTGCACGCGGAATATGTTGCACTCATACTGTACCGCAAGCAGGCGTGTAGGCGGGTTGCCAACGCACTCGGACAGTAAGGCGCCGCGGTCCAAGACATTGGGAAAACCCGCACGCACGCCTGCATGCATGCGGTTCATAAGTGAGATCCATGGGGGCCACCTGTATCATATTTCTATACGGACGTCTGCTTTATTCTAGAGCGTCGTAGTTTGATTTATTGATCAATCACGACCCTTTCACCTCTTCAGTTTTGTCTTAAAGTCTTAAACCATTGATACAAGGAAAGATATGTGCCAAGAAGGACACACATTAAATTCAAAGGTAGGCAGATTAGAGTGGTTCGGTGTTGACACCAAATGGAGAAAAAAAAGCTTGGAGTTTTACTTGAATTGTTTATTCAATGGCTTCACCACACAGTAGAAAAGTATTTTAAATCATACACATGACTTAAAAAAAGTTAACTCAATCTATTAAGAAACAACAGATAAAAAAAAGTGTTTGGGTAAATTAAGGAGTATAAAATTCATGACGTATAATAATATCTATCTTGAATAAGGTTGACAGCTGGCACAAGGGTTAAAAAAAAGCAAAAAAAAAAAACAAAATACATATTTTACATGACATAATTATCTGTCACAAAATATATGATCAATTACATACAACACATTAGTGTGTGTTTGGTGTATTGTCTGACTGAAGCAAATTTATAGTTGTGAGCACAACAACACGACTGTGTTGAATCACAGTCGTAAATTTTCTGTTATTGTGATCCATCAATGGAACACTTTGGTCTTTTATTTATCTTTATGAGTATCATTTAGTAAATGGGCAAAACCAGCAACGATTGCCTCAATAAACCACAAAACATCTGCTCTAATACTAAACCTACAATATGATCTTGATTTTGTACAATAAACTTTTGTGCTTTAATATAGAAAAATCTTTTTCATTTCTCTTTTAAACACACAAGATTATAATTCTCTGAAAGTTTTCCTTGCATCTGAAGTTAACAAAATTCAATTATAAATACATGCCTTGATTGGGCTAATAACAAGTGCAAACTTTAAAAATTTGGGAGTAGACCAATTCTCATTTTGCAAGGCCAAAGCACAAACCATAAAAGAAATAACAAGAGCTGTTATGTATTTTATAAAAGCACGCCAAACACTAACTAGTTCTCAACTAACAAAAACTTCAATAATATTTCAGACTTCTGTCATGAACTATTCATTGAATATTGGATGATCTTTATCTCATTACCATTGACCATTAAAAAAATAAAGAAAGACCTAGTTAGATGATCAGGATTGTTAATATGCTTACTTCCAAAAACTTTCCAACTTCTCCACCATGGATATAGCTACAATTTTGGTTCTGAAATAAAAACAAATGAGCAGGAAATGAATCTAATTGCAAGTGGTTGCCAAACTAGTTTCAGTCACAGTTTAGAGGGAAGAATGAAGTTGGTATGTTGATATGCACTTTGCTTACTCTGTACAGCGCAAAGTTACTGATAATGTTAAAATAAAACTGCCTTTTCTAGTATTATTTGAATGCGGTAAGTAGAGAAGCTCATAGGAGATCAATCATGAGACACAACAGCTGTGAACAGGAAAAGTTTAGGAACATAAACCATCAAGTGCAAAGAAGGATGGGGTGGTATGAACTCATATGTTCTCCTAATCATCAAATCCCAAATTAATACAACAAAATACATGAATAGGAGACTTTCATGTTGTCACATGCTTTAAAACAAAAATAAATTTGTTAAAAACTTAAACAAAGAAAACAGATATAAAAGGAACAAATATATAAATGGAATACAGTAATAAAGCATCATTGCTTTTCTTTGTGGCTTGATAAACTAAGTACGGCAGCCTGTCTAAAGAAATACTTAGGGAGATATGGCAATGCATCACAATACAGTGGAAAAGTCACTAATTCCAATTCTTTAAAAACATGATATAAAAAAGTGGAGAGTATTAGGTCATTGAAATGTTATCCAAAGTCCTTTCTCCTAACATGCACATGATCTATTGCTCATTGAAAAATCACTACAATAAAACATATATTAATATAAAATAAAAGGATGACAATTGATTAAACAGAAAAAGGCTTGGCCTTAGGATGGGCCATTTTCCCTCTTACTCACTTATTGGATAAACAATATGATACACAGCTCATTAATTGCATTACACTAACAATGGCAGTAACATGAGCTTAGCAGTCTTGAGATGTTTAAGTATTCATTCGAAACCTACATTCAATAAAGAGTATTGATATGATATGGAAATAATCAGTGAGAAATATCTGTACAATGGAAGAAAGTGGCACATGGTAAGTTTGATACACTGCCTGATAAAAATAAACAGGATTGTTTGTTTAAAAACAACAACATAAAAATCTGGCAAGAGCTTTAAATGAAAGGCTTGTCTATAACATGATTCATGCATGACAAAAATACTGCAGCAGGTCTTCATTTTTGAACAGATTTACATTAAAAGCAAACATAAAGTTCACAGCATAAAAACTTAAAATGATGTAGTAAGCTGCACATATGGATGGCAGTGTTAATTAGAAAAACTTAGTTTACTATCAGTATAAGTCTATAGTCATTAATACATACATAACTAACTACACAATGTACTCTAATCCATCCATTTTTTTTCTAAATTCATTATTAACATTGGAACCTAACATCCAATTAATTAACATCTTTCTGTGCTAACAGATAGCACAAAAGTTAATTCAAGCATTTAAAACTTGAACAGAGAGCTCATCACATTTTGTTGCTTATTTACACCATTAAAATTAAAGTAACGCTCCATTCCAATCTAGTCAATATATACAAAATTTAGGAGCCTTGGCGACTTGGACGTTGATCACTATACTGCGTAAATATATGTTCATGTTGCATAGTGATCGAAGGAACCTAAGTATTCCAACGCCGCTCTGTAGCAGAATTGGTACTGATCCTAAAAAAGACCATATAAACACATTAGGAAACAGGTTTAGGGCAGAAGATAAAAAGAGAGACTAAGTAATGAGTTTCATTACCTCTGTTTGTACCATAGCTGGACGTTGTGTGCGTAAAACACGGACACTTTGGAAAACATCAACAACCCCCTCATATTGCATTCTTTCCAAAACAATACTTAAAGTTATAAAAACTCCAGTTCGACCAACACCAGCACTAGAAAGATAAAATATTTGTTAATTTAACTATTTGTGAAAAAAAAAAACAAGAGCACCAACCCAGTGATGATCTTCATACCTGCAATGAACAGTGATTGGGCCCTCCTGACCAAACTGCTCTTTTGTTTTATGAACCTGGCCAATAAAATCTATAAAGCCATCTCCTGATTTGGGAACTCCTTGTTCAGGCCAATCTGTGAACTGGAACTGCCGCAGAGTTCGAGATGAACCATCTCTTGCATCTGTGACCTTGAATTCTCTAAGAATATATTGAGGCATATTATATTCTGCAATAGGCTCCACAACATAACATGCATAACGCACAGAGCGATCAGAGGGCCAATATTGGTGGCACTTTTCCTGGAAAAAATGAGTCGTAAGTAACTATATGGAATATTCTTTTCAGGATAGACTGTGTGGGTAGTATTCCCATTCATATCGATGATTGTGATTACTTACTCTGCCCATTTCTTTCAGTTTAGTCAACATTACAACAATAGTAGAGTTGTGCTCCCACAACATACGCCACAAGTCCTCAGCAGTATGAGGAAGAGGACCTTGAGTAGCAATGTATGCTCCTCTTTGCCTATACCCATCAATAAGGCTGGCATTTATGTAGTCTGAGCCTTCAACCCCCCGAACTGGTTGTAAACAAACTCTTGTGCTTTCAAACGGCAATACATGAACAAGTCTGTTTTTATGTTTATTACATTGAAGGCTAGCGGATAAGAAGCGTGATGCATCTGTCTTCATATTTGACAATCGCTGAAACAAAAATACCCAGGTTAAAAACACCAGACGCAAACCTTTTAAAGATAGGAACATTCCATGGGATTTAATTATTTACACACCTTGAACTCAAGTTCCATGTTAGTTACACCATCATGATTCAGAAGTAAATTTGATATGTGTGTATGAAGGGATCGAGCAGCAACTTCAGTATTACCACAGACAACTGCTTCAAGTAGAGCATCATGAATGAACATGTACTGATCTTCAGTCTAAAAACAGAGGCAACAGTTAACTTTAACAAAGTTTCTTCAAAATAAAAACAAAATATATTTTAATATGTCTCATCACAAACCTGGACCATGTAGTTTCTTTGAGCTCGTAAGCAAGTAACATGCCCATAAATATCAATGGTCTTTTCATTTTGCATACGCTCTAACATTGAATCAATTACAATGAAACATCCTGTTCGTCCTACACCAGCACTGAAAATTAATAAAAAATTAATTTTAGAGGTATATTATTGAGCTGTTCAAGATAGAACTCTGTGTTTGTGTCACTATCTACCCTTGATTCAACATTCATGAAGCTACTCTGATTTGAAATTTTAAAAACCTACCTGCAATGCACAACCATTGCACCAGCATCACCAGGATTAAGACTACGAACTCTTCTCAGAAATTGTAAGAATGGAGCGGGGTGATCTGGAACTCCATGGTCAGGCCATGCTGTAAACTGGAGCTGCTTCACTTCACGACGTTCACTATAACCCGACTGTAAGATTCAAAAGAAAAATGTTTTTATCAACTGTCACAATAACTCTTCTATGAATCTTACCTTCTTCAACTTTAAAACATGGTGCAAATATTTTTTTTTCTTTTTCAACTTTACACAAATCTAGGAAGGTAGATGGGAATGGAGAATACCATACCTGATGGATGTGGAAAGTGCGAATACAATAAGTAGCAAGCTCTTGGACATCTGATATTGCAACTGTTATATTTCCATAGGTATCTGATCCTCTGGTAGGCCAATACTGATCACACTTGATTCTTGTTCTTTCTTCAAGTTTAGTCATCATGACAATTGTAGCTGTTCTTAGCTCCCAAACCATGCGCCAGAAATCAGCAAAAGTTTCTTGCAGAGGACCCTACCGAATTTTCAAAGAGAAAAGAGATAAAGAAATGAGTAATAAAATCCACTGAAGCACATCACATGGCAATTGATTCAACTAACTAAAACTGACCTGAGTCGCTACATAGGCATTATGTTTACGGTATCCATCACAATAGTTAGCATTGATGTAGTCCGATCCCAAAACACCATCAATTGGTTGAAGGACTACTCTTGAATGATCATATGCAATAACATTGGCATATCGATTCTTAGGTTTGTTCACCTCCATATTTGAATGATCCCATGTAAACTGCTGTCCAGGCTCTATTGACTAGAGTGCAAAAAATATGGAGTTAAAATTTTGGCGCTTATAATCATGCAGAACTTAGTAGAAAGTCATGTATTTGACAGCAGTGTACTAACCTCATATTCCTGAGAGAATTTCATATTATCATTAGATTTTAATCTTTCAATATGGGTAGCTAATTCATTAAATGGAATAGGAGGATGTGACGCCATGGCAGGAGTGTGATGATTTAAACGTCTCATTTCAACTGGGTCCATAGGGCCATGGGAGGTCGCTATGTCAGCAGTTATCAGAGGCCTTGTCACAGCAGCCTGATCAGGAGCCTTACATGGCTGTCTTCGCCTGGATACGCAAAATAAAGTTTTAGATTTTTGATACAGTACAGTAGATATTGAATTTATTAAGGGTTGTGAACTTACTTTTTTAAGATAAAGAGAAGAACCATGATAATGGACAAACCAAGTGCAGCAATGATCGGGCCAATAACCCACACCATGCCTGCTTCCTCTGTGTTCCTGTTGACTGACACATCTCCAGAATTTTCAACAGGTACATTTGGATCAGGTCTCCTTGGTGGATCTCCTGGAGGTGCTGATCTCATATTCAGGGAGAGTGGTTCCGAGAAAGGACTGCTAGTGTAAAGATGCTAGAGAGGGAAACAAAAATTAAACTAAGCTAGTCTGTTGACTCAAATGCATACATTGCCTAAATTAAAGAAAGTAGAAATAGTTTGTCTTCATTAAAGAAAGACATGGCCATGTATACAAAAGAAAGTAGACATGCCCATGTCTACCTTAAAGAAAGTAGAAAGGCTCATGTCTGCATTTAAATAAAAAGAGTAAATCTTAAAATCCAGTTTTTAAAAAAGACAAAGGTTTTTACTTTGTCTGGATCTGTTTTCAATGCCCTTTGTTGCAATTCACAGGATTTATAGCTTACCTTCTGAGGAGTATCCACTACAGCTCTGATAAATATTCTATATCTTTTCCCCTTTTCAAGTTTTCGATTCAAAAATCCTTCGTAAGTTTCATTGTTACCAAGGTAGAAAGTGTATGGAATATTCCTGAGAGTAAATTTAGCAGCAATGTAAGGAGCATTTTCCCTCTCAGTTTTATGTCCTTTATTTGCAATCATCTAAAAAGATACATGGGATGGATCCAAATGTTAATCTTTTCATTCACACATAACTACAAGAACATATTGTTTTAAAGAAACAGAAGGCTGACATTACCTGTTCAGTCAGAAACTGGTCGGGGTTTTTATTGAAAGTGGACTTATCTTCAGGTACAACAATAAGATAGTAATGACTAATTGGTCCATACTGTTCTGACGCTTGTGGTAGTATAACAGATATTTCATCACCAGTGACTCCATAAAAGTCAGGTTGTACCATGGGCTGAGGAGCTAAAAGAAAGTAATGCAAACAAATTTAGTGTGTTGGAGTTGAAATTCAACATTATTGTTTTAAAATTTCTGCTATTTTTTAGGATGATTTTACCTGCCATTCCAGTTGTCACAGTTGTTTTAGTTGGTGGACGGTATGAGCTGTCTTGAGGCACAGCACTTACATTAACTCTGTAAGTTGTGAATGGAGATAGATCTGTCACAGTGTAATTATGCACATGAGGTTCAACGTATATTGTTCTTGGCGGAACAATTTGTGTTTGGGTAATGCCTTGAGAGTCAACAAATTGCTTCTCTGAATCATAGGATATCTTGTACTTTAGAGGGTTTAGTTGATTGGGTGCTGACCAATAAAGGGTCATGCTGTGGGTGCTAACATCTGATGCATAAAAGCCCATGGGCACATCCTCTGGTTTCACTTTCACTGTTTTCTTCTCTGATAAGCGGCCAAGACCAGTCTTTGATCTAGCAGCTATAACCACAGCATATTCAGAATTTTTATCAAGATTAGTAAGGTCTGCTGATTCAGTAAGCGAAACATTCTTTTGATTCCATCTATCAAGATCTTCAACAGCTTCTTCACTGTAAAAGATTGTATATCCTACAGCATGCCTGGAAGTTACTGGTTCCCACCAGACTTCTGCACTATGATCAGACGTAGCAACTACATTAACATTTCGAGGTGCACGAAGAACATCGGATTGGGTTTTAATTGTCACATGTTCACTGTACGGCCCAGCACCTTTGGTTGTGTGGGCTCGAACTTTAAATATATATTCAGAGTTGTCTTCGAGGTTAGGAAAGACAGCCTTGTTAAAGGTAGTGTTTCTTTCAAACTGAGTTGAGTGGTCATCTTTTTTGTGTAGAACAGCGTGGTAGTACATTATCACACCATTACGTTTCTCTCTTGGAGGAGCAGACCAAGTTATGCTCACAGTATCAGGGGTCTGAAAATGAACTGATATATTTGATGGTGGTCCAGTTGGAGCTCCTTCAGGTGTGACATATGTTTTCATTATCTCTTGTCCATAGCCAACTTCATTTTGTCCTGCAAGTCTAAACTCATAAACTACCCCTCTCTCTGTATGATTGAAGAAAAAACAAAAAAATTAGTGAGTGCAATATTTTTATGTCAAAAAATCTAGACGTTATCAATAAGATCTTACCTAAATCTTGCAGAAGAAAGTGAGTCTCTGATGGACCTAACAATTTCTCTTGAAGACTTTGATTTTGAATTCCAAACCGCAACCGAAAACCTATCAATTCTCCATGTTTCTGGGTAGGTGCATTCCACTCCAGTTCCAAATCATTAACATCTCCAGTATCATCTTTCCTTTTAGCTCTGTAAATTAAAAATAAATAAATATTTCAGTTCATAAAAGACAACATTTTAATTAGTTTAAAAAAAAATATCACATACTTCAAGTTTAGATTTGGTCGGTTTGGGACTCCACCTGGAGTGCGAACAGTTATAGGTTTACTACGATCACCATCTCCTTTACGAGTTAGGGCAGCAACCTGGACTGAATAATTTGTGTCTGGTTGAAGCCCTGGTACATTCCCTTCAAGAACTGAGCCATCCTGAATATCTAATCTTATAGGGTCATACATAAGTCGGCTAGTAGTACCCTAAAAGTAAAAGTAAGAATTCAAGAGAGATGAACACTCAAAGTACACTTTAATCAATGAATCAAACACTATGTAAACTCTCACTAACCTCTATACTGGCCTCTTGCACATGTATTTGATAGCCACGTATGATGCCATTCCTTTCTTTTTCATCAGGAGGACTCCAGCGAACATTAATTGCAGTAGAATTGATGGGAGTAGCAACAATGTCTTTCGGCGCTCCAGGCACTGTTAAGTGAGGAAATGACCATGAGCCAATTTTAAGAATGAGCCTGATGCTCAATGCTGACATCATAAAGGCTCCACATTCAAGACTACTTTAAAGCTTTAATCAGTTTCCAAATTAAAATAATAATTAATAGTCAGAAACAAAATGCTTTTGTCATGTACATTGAAATGGAGCTATTTATGATGACTTGAGCCTCAGGCTTTAAAGCAGTAAACATTCACTGATTATATGTATACAACCACCTAGGGTTCTACACACTGAAAATGAAAAAAAAAAATAAAAGAAGAAAAAAAAATGTAGCATCGCACTCTTCCCTCCAAGCATATATCCCAATACTTATATTTTATTTTACTTGTACAATTCTTTGCTCGGAGGAAAATAACCCAAAACAACACTGCATAAAGTTGTAAACATGAAATCAATGAAATCATATTTAAAAATATGATGTTCATGTCCCCAAAGTGGTAAAGATACAAAAGTGTAGCCAGAAATATGATAAGCCACCCAAGTTCTAGAGGGCTATTTGAAAACCTTCACTTGAAAACAGAAATAAATAGAAGAGAGACAAGATTGTGAAATAAGGAGAGACAGATAGAGTTAGCCCTACCAAAGATTGGAGTATAGTTTACCATATTCCAAAGTGAGTGTTCTGTATGTAAATAGTATATAAAAATTAATGTAAGACAGCAAAGGGATACTTCATACACCAACAATGACTGGAGAGTTTTTAAACTGAATATCTTTAAACTACCTTCTACGTCTCTACAAACTACAAACAGAACAAAAAGTTACTGACATGGTTTGATTAAACCAAACATAATCGCCAACATATGAAAATATTCAGTCTCTTTTGGAGCTATGTTAGTACTCACTTTTACAAGCTGAGCAGGGGAACCAAAAGAATTGATACGCCACAAAAAAAAGTGGAAAAAATGTGACAAAAATTACTATTGGTTTCTCAATGAGCGTATCTAAAAAAAAATGTGTTGCATCGCCGACACATTCAAAATATTCCCCTTCAAAACACAGCTGCAAAAACTCTTTCAGGGTATGCAAAACGAGTCACAAGGGAGCCACAAAAATAACTGTCAAAAATAATGTGAAAAAAGACAACCACAAAACTGGTGTATGTGTGATAAAACAGCATATGAAATAAATCATTGTGTGTTAAAACCAATAGTAAATTTGTGAAACTTAATGCTGGCTGGGAAAGTAATAAAAATAGGAATTGAAAGAAGTAGTAACTCATGTGCAGATGTATAATTGGGCAAATCTTCCTATCAAATTCTGAAAAAGTATTTGTTTTACTGCTTGAGCTTCTTTCCCCATTCATTACTTATAAAGGACTGAAATTAAATCAGAGATCAGTTACAACTTAATGTGTTGAGTGAAGTTGGCTGCACATAACTTTGCCATTGAACGTCTTGTTGTATGATTCGAGCAAAGTTACAGAAAGAAATAAGTATCTTTGTTTTCTTTTCAGAAAAGGAAACACACACACACAGTGCAAAATGAAAAAAATCTTGTCCAAAAATGTAAAAAGTCAAAATTGAAGAAAATCGGGGGGAAAAATTCAGTGAGTACTTTAAAAATTCGAGAATAGAATGTTTGATATACATTTCTGAACATCTCAGGGCAAACATACAAAAAAAGAACAAAAAGCAACAACTTTGAGTTGCAGCTTTTAAATGTGTCCTCGTAAATACTTGAATTCCATAGTAAATTTTTTTTAAAGAATTATTCATACTCCACCAAAAACATAGCTGAACCTCAACAAAAAGAGTGAAGTTTGTTCTATGTATGGTTCCTGAGAGTTCAATTTAAAAATTAAAAATCAAAGTCATACGTTTAAAAAATCAGAGAAAAATAATATTGATGGCAATTACGTTATAAATCTTGATGAAAGGGAGCAATCCTAGTGTGAGACAATATGTTTTATAGCATTCTCAATTTCAGTCTTGCTCCATATAGTTATGGAAGACATGAAATAGAATTGAGATAAAATAACTTATTTTAAGATTGGTTAAGATATGTGCATGGAACAATTTTAATGTCTGGTTTTGTGAACATTTCTGCGATGAGTTTAAAGGGTAGAAGAGAGAGAAAGAGAGAGACAAAGAAAGACGGAATGGGTAGAGGGACGATTAAGTGGAATGTTGATTGTTGTTTTCTTTGGATGAGTCAATTAAATTGATATGGACAATGTTGGTTTAAAGAAATGGAGTTTTTAGGGGAGAATGGTGGTGTTGAGCCTAGTCATTGTTCCTTTTTAAATAGGCAATGAGGTTAAGTTTGTGATGGAGTGGAATGTGCATGTATGAGACATCATGTAGGTTTGTGTTTGCCAACCATAACAAACATGACTCTCACTACCCATATAAAAGGAACATGACCCATCTGAGGAAAGAGTTCATTGTATCATCACTGGCTGCATCAGCATCTACACTAATACAAAAACTTTGTACCACATTTAATATTGTCAACTGTTGTCTTAATTTAAGATCAAAGAAAGAAATATGTTTGTTCTTCAAGAGAGAATTGAATAACAGTTTTTGACAGAGAGAATAAAGCGAGAAAAAGAGAAACGAGCCTTTAAAGTATTGGAAGAGAGTATGTTAATTAATGACAACATCACATGGGATACAAAGTCATGGATGGGTACCTTCAATCACAGTGATATAATACAGTGCAGATAAGTACAAAAAGCTGTGCTCATTGATTTCATAAGGTGCTCATCTATACAGCCATGCTTTGGAAGTGGTAATGTTTAATACTTTTAAAATCCACACAAACCACAAGTCTACTTGGTGAATCATGACATAAAATCTGATTAACGGTGATGGGTAAACAACAAACTTTACAAAACATACCACATACCAAAAACACGGCATTTAGAGGGAGGTGCAAAGTGGCAATTAGTGCATGCAGGCAAGGGATTGGCAAGGATAGGTGATGTATGGAAGGAGCAGAAAAACCAAAACAGTGCTCTTAGTGCCGTGTGACACAATGTGCCCAAAACAAAAGATTTGTGCTCTTAAAAAACTTGTGTACGTGATTAAAAAAGCATTCAACCAAGTGAGAGTTGTAACTGACAGAGAGAATATATCTGAAGGAATGAATACACTGCTTCTTCTTTAAACTTTGAATGAAATGTAAATAATTACTTTTATCAAGATTAAAGTACTTAAGTCACAGCTAAAATAAATTAACATCATTAAGACAGAGAAAGAACGAAGAAAGAAGAAGCAGTGCAATTCATGTTATGCCAGAAAATTATAAGGAGCAACAACCATATCACCCAATCTCCACGATGCCAGCGGTCTGCTAAGGACAAATAGATTAAGATCACAGTATGTTAAGACAAAGACAGTATTAGCAATTAGACAGACAAGACAATCCATGAAGAAAATATCACCATAACAAAATTAACTTGCAACACGCACCCACACGCACACATTGAAAAAAAAGCATAAAAATTAGTATTTCAGCACATTCAAAAAATGGTCAAAAAGCAATATTTTTTGAAAAAGCTTTGTGTCTGTCTGAAAAATCCAAAACCGCAAAAAACATTATTTAACCCTTTGAGGTCCACTACTTGCTAATCATGGAAAAATTCTTTTCAATTTCCAAAAATCAAAATTTGAGTTGTGTTTAGAAAGTAAAGTTTAGGTCAACATACTAGGTAACAAAGAAGACGTTTGAATCAAATAGTGCACCAAAAATTAATATTAAGGTGTGCATCGGAACAAGAGTGCGTAAAATTCATAGGAGGCCATACTTACTATGTAAAATTGTCAAAAAAAGTTGACAGGAAAAAATGGCAAGGAAACCAAAAAGTTTTCTGTACGAACACTCCCATGTACGAATTACTACAGCATTGCTTGGTAAGATTATGATCAACACAATCACACATCAAGAACAGTATAAAGAGTTTTGACAAACAGGACCACAAACGATTAAACATTTCAAAGCCTAAACATAGTACATTTTAAAACATTATTTCTTCCTTGTTAAAATGTACTAAATCTGGGCTGTAAAATAAATATACTACAAAGAAAAAAAAAGATTTTTTTTTTGGTGCTTATGAAATGCACACACAATGATATATCACCAAATCAAATATATTTGATTGTTAAAATTGGTAAACTGAAGTTTTTACTGCAGTTCAAAATTTGTAGTATATTTACTCTTAGGTGAAAAAGTAGTATGTTTTTTTAAAAGAGACAGACCATCAAAGCAGAAAATTGCAAGCAAGAAAATCAAGGGGGTGGATTAGGAGAAAGGACAGGTCATGGAGCTACGGAAGGTTTCATAGAACCACAATCTCTTAGCTGAATTTGACTTGTGTGCCAACCACAAAATGTATTTTATCCAGTGAAATATTTGCTGCTAAACTGAAGAATTACCACGGAATTCAAACACAAAAAAACTTGAAAAGCTAACAGGTGTAGATGGTTAAGAAGATTAAGGAAATTACTAAAAAACAAAAACTTTTAAAATGTTTTGGAAGAAACTTAAGCCTTACATATACAAGAATTTCCTCCCAAGAATATATTTTAAAAGTACAATAGGTTATTATTACAAATGCAAATGTAGAAGTTTTTGAATACCTCACTTTTACCATGTGACTGATTGGCCCCGCCTACATTTGTTGTTGTACTGTACCGTTCAGGCGGGCGGCTGAGTTTCCTATTCCCTTGGAGGTAATGAGGCGCCATGATCAGAGATAAGCAAGCCTGGTCCAGTATAACTACATAAAGTGGAGAGGGCTTCCTCAGCCACCTGGTACATAAAGTTAAGTAACTCATAATTTGAAGAAACCCCAACATTTTAAGCCAGCGAGCATTTGCATAATAATTGGGAGAGGCTATATCTCAATTACATCTTTTAAGCCCTTTTCAGCATTTGAGTTTCTATGAAACTACAACTCATACCCCAACAATGAAGAAAGCTGCCAGCCACAGTAATACAAAGAATTTTGAATTATGTTATATAAGACAAAAAATTGGCAAGCAGAAAGCGATTGATAATGAAAAGCTATGAATTTTTGTCCCTGCTGGCAACTTGCATTCAGCAGCATTGTCACAGAGGAATTGTGAGGCACAGTAAGTAGAAGGAAGGCAAACAACATAAAGAAATGAAGTGCATGATACATTATAAATTGTAAGTAGACTGAAAGGGATGACTTTTATGCAGAGACTTGCAATCTTCTAAGCTTGGATGATAGAGTGAAGAATAAAGTCAATTTTTTTTTGTTAGTTTGTCATTAGTTAAGACAGAAGCTTGGACTAAACTGATCTAGCTAGGACACCCTGGACTCTTATCTGACAATGTGATACAAAAAGAACACTTAAATATTCTTTTTTCATTTTTACCAAGCTGGAAGTCACATATAGAAACTGAGATTGGAGAAACAACATATGATTTAGCTGGGAACAAAATGTTATGAAGAAAAGGAAGTTCTGCCATCCAAATAAAAGTAAAAAGATTTGGTAAAAGGTCAACATCATGATTATATCTACAGCCAAAAATACCGCTTTCAGCGCTCCCGATTAAGAATTTTCATGGTACTTTCCCAAAATCTCTAAATCAATAAAATCAAATGTCTTTGAATTTCTATTTAACATGCGTAATAGAAGACTACTTTATTTGGACTTCTATTAGAGCCAAATTACCACAAGAAAAATCTTCAAAAATATTGTAATCTTGAAATCATTAGCTACTTAATATGCATATCGAGCATTTTAAGACAGCAAAATCTCAACAACATGACGAAACATGTTCTTAAATGAAAATCACTAGTTGAACTGCAATGCAAATACAGCAAACTGTAGTCAAATTACTCTGCTTCTAGATGGTCAGATTTTTTAATAACTTGCATTGGACAAAGTCTACTTAAAATAAGACAGATAGAATATCGTATTTGCTTTTCCTAGTACTACAAAACCAAGGAGAAAAAAAAAGGACCTATTCTTGGAAAGCGTGTAAGTACCATAATTAATTTAAAACCAATAGATTGTAAAATAACACTTTGGAAATTAAAGAAAGAAATATTACAGTGGGGGGGAAAGAATAGATGTTATTCGAGAACGCTTTAAGCAGATGTCACGTATAAGACCCAGCTGATATGTGATCATGTGTAAAGCTCTGATTTTGTTAAATTCAAAGGCAGTTCATCAACTAACACAATTGAGAGAGCCAACACCACACAAAATTCCACATGCTGCAAAAGATTTAGTTCCGAAGTTATTTTGGCCATTTCTCAAATTACACTGCAAGATGAAAGTGCAAATGTCTTAGAAATAACATTTGCCACAAATCCATGATTTTTTGAAAAGCAGTCTTGCAATTAAAATCAACAATGAATTGTGGGCTAAAGGCTAAGTTTGATTTAAAAATAGATGTCCAGTGGCCCAATGCAACTGTCTAAACATCCTCACTTCCATCAGAGCAGTTGATAACTGACCAAACAATCTGAGTGACATTTTTGTTTCTTAATATCTGTGGACACGTACCGTCCTCTCCGGTGCAGGCCATGACAGGTTCCGACGCCGGCCCATCACCAATTTGAGTTCCAGCAAGGACCCAAACCGAGTAGTTGGTCCATGGCCTTAGCTCATCCACAACCATGGAGGTTCTTGCTTCCCGAACGGTGATGACACTTGCTTCCGATTCGGGCAGACCATCTTCCACAACGAAGAGCTTGTAGTATGTAATGTCTCCACTGGGACGATCAGAGAGAGGTGGTTTCCAGGTGACGAGAAGTGAAGATGAACTTTCCATCTCCACAGTTACATTTTGTGGAGGGTTGCCAGGGACTGCGGAGGCAAAGTGGTTAAAGCAAAGGCGTAGGGCAACACATGGCATAAGTCAGGTCTCCTTCAGAATTCAACCTAACTTATAATTTTGATCTACAAAGGAACACATATGCACATAATGCAATCGAAGTAACAGAGCTGGCTCCTTCCAACAAGGAAAGAGACAGATTTTGAAAGAATGGAAAATAGTATGAATAGAATATACTTTGTTCACATCATACCAAGAGCACTCTACCCTGAAACTGAACTGTAATACCAAACATCACTCTCACTCGGGGGAAAAATAAGTTAGATACTTGTGCACAAAGTTTCACCAAACAAACTAAGTCTATTACTCAATAAGTGCACACGTGATAAAAATTAAGAGCCTGTGCATATACTTCTGTATTGCAGTGCATCAAATTGTGAGGAACATAAAATGACATTTACAAAAGTGAAAACGGAAAAAAAGAGCTCAAAGCCACATGCTATGCTTTGACACCAGAAACACACAACATTTGCCTCAATAAATAAAAAAACAAAATAAAGTGACGTACAACTACAGTGCTGGAGGCAAAGTGTTCATCCGAAGATAATTGCGACTGACAATTGTTTGATTTTTTGGCTGAGGGAACATTGAGGGCCTTATTTACAACATTACTTTCTGTGGCCTAAACTGTTTTGTGTGTCTATGGAGAAATATGTTTTGCAGTATTGATCCTTTGATTGAAACCGGACTGACTTAATCTGAGGGACCCATTGCAACCACCTATCTTTATCAAGAAACCACACGGGTGGCTAAATGTTGACATCATAACTTACCTCTCCAATAGAAATTAATCCAACCCTTATGATAGTGTAGCTTACCTGATCATTACCACGTGTTTCACAAGTAAAGAGATTCTTAACCCAATTCTACAACATTCAATTAACTTTAACTCATCTGAGGATATTCAATTGTCTGAAAAACAGTCTGAAAGTTTTTGATGCGGCAATTGAAAGGTTCAGTATTCACCTCAGAACAAGTTACATTAGATTAGAGGGGGAATGAAGAGCACAACTTAAAATTTGATGCCAGCCGCAATTGATTATAATAATGTAGTTCAACAGTGATGTGAAAAGGCTCCATTTGCTGATTGATGGAGTACATTAGTTGGTGCAAGTAAAACCTTCCCACACATCATTAAATTTGGCAGAGCCAAAATTCATACTAGTATATAAATGGACCTATTTTGGCTTAATACATTGAATGGGGAAACTGAATGATAAACAATCGGGTTGGAAGTGGGACGTACGTACCTATTGATGAAAGCAAGCCCGGTAGACCTAAAATTCTTTTTACATGGGACTGAGCACAGTTATAACCCTAACATACTTGGCTTGAGGGGCAGCACAGAAATGTGCAAACTGCAAGCCAAGTGAACAAATCTTACCATACTGCTTGGTTCGAACAGGAATAGGTACTGTTGTTGCTCCTTCCCCTCTGCTGGACCGTGCAGCTAGCCAAATGTAATAAAGAGTATTTGGATAAAGGCCTGTTAGTTTGTAGCTCTCTAAAGCAGCAATGCGGCGATGATGCCTTTCCTGGAAAAGTAATGAATGAAGTAAGAGGGAAGAATATAGAATAAGAATTTTGATGTATCGAAGAAGAGTCAGAAAAGGTTATCATACTCTGACAAATGTATCATTCCAGTAGAGGTCATAAGCAACAATGTTGTCACTTGCGTGAGTTGGTTTGTTCCACACAAGAGTGACTGACGTTTCACCAATGTCACTTGCACGTAGATTACTAGGTTGACTGGGAACTAACAAATTAAACAAAATAATTTAGATACACATAATTAATAGTTGAGAAATACCAATCTCTCACGAAAATACAAAGTCAGATCTTCAGTGTGAGATAATAGAAACTTACCACCTTGTTGGGTTTTAACCTGGACAGGCACTGAAAAGGGGCCTGGACCAATACTTGTAAATGCTTGGACTCGAATTGTGTAAATGCTGTGAGGAGTAAGTTCTCCAATAGTTGTCAACTGGCTGTTGTCTACTTTTTGCATTTGCCACTTAGCAATTACTTCTTGAGGGTTTGTGGTGTAGTATACATTATAACCCTAAGGAAAAAAAAAACATACAATATTTTCATTTTGACAACTGCCCTAAATTACACCTATACCTAAATAGATGGAAAAGTTAGGTACATCAAATACACATTGCATTCAAAGGAAACATGAGAGCGATAGCTTACTGATATTTGACCACTGGGTGTTTCTGGTTCATCCCACTGAATAACCATAGTACTGGAGCTGAGAGGTCTAACTTGAACATTCCTTGGAGCTGTTCCAGGTTCTAAAAAGAGGCAAAACACAAAATTTAGGAAAAAAGCAATCAATCGATTAAAACAATACTATGAACCTGCAAATAAGATGGTCAAGAAATTCTATTCACATAGTAATATAATATATTGTACTCTCAAGATGCTAAGCAGCTTGAAAGCAGCAACACAAAGAAAGTGACAGGAAACCAGAAGTAAACTTACTTGAACCTCCAAATTCAGCTGATAGCAAGAAAAAAGAAGACAAGACGCATTAAATTGGAGAATGAGTATTGTTAAGAGTTTTGTGAAAGAGGGCCAAGTTGCAGTATTGTAGATTATCTTATATTAAAAATAAGAGAAAAAGTTATGATTTTAGAAGATATTTAACAGTTCATAAAAAGAAAATGGAAGGTGACAAAAATATAATTGGGACAGGTGCTAAAAAAAAAGTGCAAAAAGCACACTTTTAAGATATACAATGAAATATGATTTATGGGAATTAAAAATGATACAATAGACAGACCAACAGAAGAAGTGCAAGGTGAGGAAAACATGCGCAATCAATCGTACATGCAATTGGGTGCACAAAAGAAGATGATGTGCAGCAAGTATCAAAACTAGCCTTTGAATGTATTACTATACTTCACAACATTTCTCTACAAGTGTATTGAATTATGTAAAGCAAAGCAATACAAAGAAAGGTAATCTACATTTGAAGGACACAAATTTGTTTGAAATAGTGTAAATTGCATAGAACTATGGTTATATGCATGCTTTGAACGCTAGCAAGGCAAAACTTTAAACTTACATCAGATACATAATCCCATTATTAGCATGAAAAACAAAATTCAAACAAGACGAAATAAATAAATAAATACCAATTCAGCGCCAGAATTATAAAGATTCATAAATGCTTTTAGTAGTCTTTAATTAAAATTAGAAAATGTAATCCTAAATACTAAGCACAGTTTAGTTCTTCAATTACATGCTGCTCCATTAAATGAACACCTTGAAGCAGCCACCATTTTCTAATTATTGAAAATAAATTCACCGTGCACAAAAATACAACAGAGCATTGCTGTCAGATGATTTACCAGCTTATACACCAATTTCCAAATTAAAGTAAAAAGATAACTAGTCTTTAAAAAAACAACAGCAAAATTAAATCATTGCCATTGTAACTCATGTAACAAAATTGTACATATGAATTGTCTACTGGAAGTACGGCTTAATGTTTACTGTACTGGGCAGGCTAGAACAAGCTGTTGAAAAGAATTAATGTGTAAAAGGTAGGTAAGGGATATAAGCTTACCTGTTTCTCCTGTAGTAACATAGAGGGCTGAGCTGCGTGGTCCTCTTCCAATGGGGTTGACAGCTAATACATACATTTCATACTCAGTGTAGGGTGATAGGGAGCGTACAGTGTAATACTGTGTGATAATTCCCGAGATTTCAGAAAAGGCTTGATTTGTAGCAGATCTAGGTTTATGCTGTATCACATAATATGACAGGTCTTCTGGAATAGTGTGAGTCCATGATAACTTTACAGTAGTAGCAGTTATTTCTGAAACTTCCAGTTTTGTGGGAGCCGATGGAAGAGCTAAAAGATAGGATGCAAATATTAATTTTACTCATAATTTATGATGCATGCAAGACAAATAATCAATGAATAGCTGTCTTACATTTTACTTTCACAAGCACTCTTTCCATAATCCTCCCCAGCGCAGATGCAGCAACACAGGTAAAATTTTCTGACTTTTGAACATTGCGAAGAAACAAAATATTTTTTCCCACTAACGTCTCAAACTCAGACGTTGACTCAGTGTCGGTGCCTTTAACCCACATTACACGAGGCATGGGAGAACCAACAGCCACACATGTAAGGTTTACATCTTCACCAAGCATTACTTCCTGAACTGGTTCTGGTTTGATTGAAAAACTGGGTGGTACTCTCCTTTCTGGAAAATACAGTTTAAATCTAATTTAGTTTAAAGTTCATTAGAAATGCATGTTTAACTTTAAATTACTCTTCAATCATACCTTTCACATATAACTGTGTTGCTTGGGAGAACTCTGTACCAAGGGAGTTTTCTGCCACACACTCATATTTGCCAGCATCTTCTGTCTCACTGTTAGCAATTTGAAGAGCTCCTGAGGAAGAATAAACAAAATGTTATGAGAGTCACAAAAATAAAATACTATACATGGTAGAGAGGTTAGCTTTAAAAATTTTATAGACAGGTGTCAGAAATGATATAAAACATACTGCCATCAACCGCACAAATTGTAAACAGAAATATTTTTGATAAAAAAAGACATGACAAGAGCTCAAAACAAAAGTACATTTCAAATTGCTTAAAAGACTGGTATAGAATAAGAGTTTGTCATCAGGGGAGGGGAAGAGAAGGGGTTTCAGTGGAAGTGGTTGAGTAAATTATCAAACTTCGATCAGCCTTTGTTCAAGCTTTGTTGGCTATGCAAACTACACAAATCACAAATATTTTATTATTTTCAAACTTCTATCAGGTTGATAAGATATGTAGAATTACATCAGTAGAAATACAAATGAAAATGTTGCCAGTAGCTAGTCCAAGGTAGCCGGGTTCATTAATTTTTTACACTCACAGGGAAATTTGATGTTACTTGATGTAAAAGTTGGCAAAGACAAAAAAACAGGGAGGGAGCGGCACTGTCCGTTATGGTTTGGACTGCAAAGCGTTGGGTATGAAGCATGTAAGAGCCATTGTTGGTATAGTTCCTCACCTGGTAGCCTGGAGTCCAGGACAGTGTAGCGGGGGTTCGCGGGGAGGTCGATGGGCACCATGTCCCTGATCCACGTGATCCTGGGCGGCGGGTTGCCGCTGACGGTGCAGTGCAGCACCGCGTTGTGTCCGATCTCCACCACCTTGGTCGTCTGGCTGGCCGTGATCACGGGGAAGCCCGGCGGCAGCTTGTCCGCTGGAACAAAGAGACGAGAGGGCGGCGAGGTGAGCGCAAGGGTCGTTGGACTCGGTTCGCCGAGGACGCGACGGCGACTAAGTAAGCTGGCTTGTTTCCGCAGGATCAAAGGCTACACAACACACGGCACGCCCTCAAGTAGTAAGCCCCCCACCAGACTGAGTGATTAACCATCATCCAAAGTCGATAGCCGGTTATGGGAAATCAAGCCCCTCGAGAGACACACACCACCGCGCGCGGAGCACACATGGGACCCCCCCGAGCGGGGGAGGCCGCGCCGGGGCCGCGCCCCGTCAAGTCACGCCTCCCCCGGCCCCAGGGCACCCTGCCAATATCCCATCCTGCTCACACGAGCCAAATGGCCCATAGGAATGCCAATCACATTCTGCACCACTTTGCCGCGAGCCGAGCCGAGCGTTTGATTCCATTAGATTCGGTGTCGAATGGCTTTCTTCTTTCACCCTGCCCTGGCCCCCTCCCCTTCCCAAGGGCACAAGGGGGCGATAGTGGCGCCATTACTGACCGTACCTGGAGCCGAGCTCGAGCCGAGCGCCCCCGGGACAGAGGGGCCATAGGGGACCATTGGAGACCGGGACGAGAGGAAACAAGATTATTATTATTTTACAAAATTTTCCCCTTTTCATTTTTTTCAGCGATGGTGGGCCGAAAGGAGCGCGTGGAAGGCCGCTATACCTGCGCGGCGGCGGCACCTCCTCGCTGTCCCTTGCGGGCTGAACTTGGCTCATGTTTGCTTCAGGACCGTTCACCCTCGACGGGCGGACAAGGAACGAAAACACCCC